AGAGAGAGAGAGAGAGAGAGAGAGAGAGAGAGAGAGAGAGAGAGAGCGGGAGAAAGAGAGATGCAGCTAATACAGCTAATATGATCCTGTACTATTGGTGAATAGAATTTTATCAAATGCCAGTCTCGCAATTGACATTATGGCAATGTGTGAATAACATTTTTTTCATCATCAAATCTTACACTGAGAGAAAAAATATCTGAAAAATAAAAAAATATTTATTCAGTGGGTACTAATAACATATGTATTTAAATCTAAATTTCTTTTATTTAAATAGAATAAACAATTGCTTTCATGAAAAGTTAAGGATTTAAGAAAATGCGTGTATGTGTATATCTTATTTAAAAAATATTTCACATTAATAATATATTATTAATAAATATGTTATTAGTATCCGCTGAGTAAAAATATTTTTTCTTTCTTAGATATTTCTTTTCTCAGTGTACAAAGACGAATTCTTCAAACTCATCTTTGTTTCTTCCCTCTTCTTTCTCGAACGTGCGTCACGTACATGATGCGCGTGTTCTCGGGAGCGTGCTTATTTCGCGAGCACTTCAAAATGCTTCCAACCCCCGGCCAAAGAAATTCACTTTGTGCCACCGTACCGATTCGGCCATTGTCGATAGTTTCGAGCTTGTTAGCCCGACGGGCGATTGCTCGCTCCGAGTTGTTGTGCTTGCGCTGTTTGCTATCTGAATGTCGCGGGGCGAGTCTCACGGCAATCTTGACCGGCGCAATTCGAACTTTCCTCGCTTTGGACACGTCGGGCAAATATCCGTCCGGGCAAACAAAGCCGTCGTGTACGTAACTGGAGATAACGATCGCGCGTACGTACATACGAAGAGCCGGGTCAGGGAAACGCGGAAATGCTGGATATGTCGCTCATCCGAGGATATTCCCGTCCGCTGAGTGCTAGTTGAGCCAGCACACCCATTGCACTCAACTCTTAATCCTCACATTCCTAACCGGGGACTTTGAGAATCGCAAAAAGCATACATTTCTTTTAGCATCCTCGCATCTCAAACCTCATCGTAATCGTCAGTTTTTTCTCTCTCCTTTCCGTATTTTACGTCTCATTGGAGGTTCGCAACGTATGTTTACTGCATAAATGTACTCTTTTGAAGTGAATCAGTAGAAATGTCTCTGATTAAATGACTGAAAGGAGCTTTTCGCTGATAATGAGTGAATATTTACTGTAAATTTTTCCGTGAAAAACGCTTCCTCTTTAACATTCCATCATACATCTCGTTGATTTCAATCAGTAGAAGTAATCTTTCACCGCAAAATCTGTAGTACAACAACAAATTCGTTACACGAATCATGCCTAGTTGAATTTTTTGCATTTGTAGCAATGGGATTAACGATCTCCACGCGATTTACATGCAATAACATTGTTTGTGTTTGTAAACTGAATCAATAATAGAAGCAGTCGATTCTTTCAGCGAGATTTTACTGATCGCAGTGTTATATTTGTAACTGAATCACCAGTTACAAATATAGCCATTGCAGTGAAGAATACATTGATGGTATACTTTAGAGAATATCGTTGTACATTATGTTTATTAATTGGTGTCATACAAGATATTTTACGGAATGTACAGTACAATTTAAGGCATTTATCACTAAAGAAAGTGCGCACGCAAGAAAAACTTCAGTTGGTGCAACCAAATAGGAACTAACTGAAAATTAGATGATCAAAAGTGATATTTCTGTTATGAAAACTAATATTTTTGTTGTCGCAACCGAAAATATTCGTCTGAACATTCAATGATATTAGAACTCGGTTGAGGCAACTGAGAACAATTGACTATAAAGAAGCCTCATAAAGGAATTTTTCTGTTCCTACAGCCGAGTTTTCGTCTGATCCCTGAGCAATCGAAAATTCGGTTACATCAACAGAATTGTTTTTTCCGTGCATGTGAGACAAATTAATTACGGATAAAAGAGCGTAACTCCTATCGTATAAGCGAACATAAGTGTACATCGATGCTTGGTCGGTCAGGTTGATTTTACATCCTGGCTGATTATATCTCCGGCTCACCGTTGGCGCACGTCTCGTTACCCGCTCCCGTTAATTTCGCGCCCGAGGATGCGCGAACATAATGCGAATAGACTTGGACTGTGTGTCGCGCGGAGTACTACCGTGGGGCGGCTGCGTCTGGCGGAAACCAAAGGGGCGTGAAATACGAGGGATATGCGTGCGCGTTACCGCACCTGCCGGTCGCACGAATTATCGCGACGACATTGTCGCGCGGTAATCGTGAGGCACGAAACGAGGGACGCACCGGCTTTTCGGCGATTACTCGTTGAAAATTGGTTTTAATTACCGCCCCGTGTGGAACAATACCGATATTCATCCGATTAAATCCGCGAGAAATGTATTTCGCGAATATATTGGGAAAAGTTTGACGCGATTGGTGATCACAGGGGTCTGTCTCGTTTTCCAAAACGTCTCTCACGTTTCTGCATATTCTTTCAATATATTTTAATTTAGCAACGAGAGCAAAACTTTTAAGGGGTCTGAAGAGATTATCGGTACACACAG